TCAGTATTTCTCCATTGAGAATGGTATTTGCTGTGGATTTTTCATAGATGGCTTTTATGATAAGATGTAAGTAGCCCATTCAACCTACATCCACAGACCTTACTATGAGAATTCCCCGAAGCAGAGGCTTTGGGGTAAAGACAAGGAAATCCCCCTGAGGTATTTAATTCTTCATCTTAGAACCAGTGCTTTTACAACAATATGTAAAAGCAAAGGCATGAATAAGTAAGATAACACCACCAAACAGAACACTAGATCCTGAGAAAATAGTTCAAGGAAAACAGAGTTTAATATGAACAAAACTCTCAAATATATTTGCAGAGGGATTCAAGAAGATCTTACATCTACAAAACAGAAACACTGCTCCATGGCAAAAGAATAATCAGAGAACAGATAAGGGCGCTTACATCCTAAATATGTTTGCTTAAAAAAATTAGAAAAACTGAAAAGTGAGGGGCACCTGGGTGGCTCAGTCATTAAGTGTCTGCCTTTGGCTTGGGTCATGTTCCCAGGATCCTGGGATGGAGTCCCACATTGGGCTCCTTGTTCAGCAGGAAGCTTGCTTCTCCCTCTCCCACTCCCCCTGCTTGTGTTCCCTCTCTCTCTGTCTCTCTCTATCTCTGTCAAATAAATAAATAAAAGAAAAAAAAAAAGAAAAAGTGAAAGATATTAAATCATAAAATAAGTAGATATAAAAATAAGATTTTTTTATAAAAATAAAAAAAGAAGAAAGAAGAAAATTTCAACGTCTGACTAAAAGAAATCTCCCAAAGAGGGAAGATAAATATACACATAATGAGGAAAAGACTTTATCAGAGAAAGAAATAGAAAAAGAGAAGAGAACACAACATCTTCCCAGATTTGAAGACAGAAGCTCACCTGTGCCAGACAGAACTCATAAAAAAGAAGTTTACCACAGGAAATGTGTGAATCATGAGATTTGGCTACAAATTTTGAAGAGAGTGTCCTATAAGTGTCTAGAGAGAGGAAAAATCAAACCATTTAAAAGGACCTAGCCTAGCATTGGAATTCTCATCAAGAAAACTGAATGGTAGAAATTAGTAGAGTAATGACTTCACAAATGATTTTGAGCCTAGATTTTACATCCAAACAATCAGGTATGAGGGCAGAATAAAAATGTTTTCCAGCATTGAAATTCTTGTATTTCCTCTCTTTTTTGAGAACATTTCTGGATGGAGGGGAAAAAAAAGAGAGAGAGAGAGGAGACGTGAGATCCAAATCACAGTAGATTCAGTGTAGTTGAACAGGTTCAGAAACTCTTAGAATGAAGCAGGGACAGGTATAGCCTATGGTACTAGGGTAAACTTAAGGATGAGGAATGACCATTATTTATATTTTTCATCCACATCCAGAAGATAATTATAGGAAAAAATATTTTTCAAAAACATCATAACCAAAAATGAAACAACTAAAACCAAAAGACTTGAAAACATTTGAGAAAAAAAAAACTAAGAAAGAAGAGAGAAAATAAAATAATAATAATAATAGTAAAATAATAGTAATAATTCACTTGACTTTGAAACTAATATTTGTTTTTGATTAGCACATTAGACACATTAAAAAGGCAATAGAGTTCATACTATTATTGTATTACAGGATTTCAATATAAAGCTTCAACGTCTCAATTCTGAGTGCAAATATTATCCTAGACAAGATAAAAGGAAATGTATGACAACAAGTGAATGAGATGTACAAAGTGGGGAGGAATGTTGGAGGGAATGGCAAGGGGACTAATGTCTTCATTTTAAATAGAGAAAGTTTAATGTTGTGACTAATGTTGGTGGGGAAAAAAACGAGGTATTTAAATGTTTAAAGATAGCCTACAGAATTTTTGAAAATTAATATAACTTTCTAATATTTGAGGAGCAGAACAGCACAGGAATGTAAGTGATCTGAATCCACATTTTTCTTTCTTTCTTTTTTTTTTTTCAAATAATTGACTTTTATTTTTAAGGTTGACAATTCTAGAGCACAACACTAAAGGGGGCCTCTTAAGGAAAAAGGAGGGCAGGAGACATTGAATTCTCAGGTGTCAGCAAGTGGTACTACTGACCAACAACTTTTGGTTTATTCTTCTCATGTAACAAGAAATCCAGAGGTTGGCAGTCCGTGGCTGGTGCAGCAGCTCCTCGAGGCGTGCTATCAGGATCCAAGTGCCTTGAGTCTTTCTACGGTACCACCCAGAGAAAGGATCTGCTTTCCTTAGGCCAAAAAATGGCTCCAATACTCCTAGGTTTCATGTATGTGCTCTTGGATGTAGCAGGATGTAGCGAGAAGGACAAAGGTTCTTGCTTGCCAGATCTGCTTTCTTTCTTTTTTTTTTTTT